GGACCGCAGACGAGAACAGAGAAACAGAGGTCATTAGAAGCTATCCAACCGACAGGCAGTTGCGGTGTCAGGAAATGTAAGGCTATAAAACAAAACAAGCCTAGTAAATCCGAGTTGGAAATCAACATTTTGGACGTTGTGGCGCAGATGAGAAGAGCCTGGTCTTTTCGTGCCCGCTGAAGATGCAGAGGCGTTTTAAAGCAAAAACCGATGTCCGGCTCCCAAGAGCCACACAGATGAGAAGTCGTTGTGAAGACAGTATGCAACAGAAGGGTGCGAGTATGTAAACGCAAACAAGTGGCCTCTCACCCTCGCCTGATTGGAGTGAATGTATGCGTGCGGCAAAGCACCAGAAACCGACTTATGAGTCTAGTTCACAAGCGCGCTCGCGCGCGCACGCTAGTTAGTGACCACCAGAAGAATAAATGCTTACCTGGCTAAATTGCTCTCAGGGGAAGTCGGGGCCGCGCCAGAGGCAGCCGAGTACTTGTAACTGTTGGTTGGAGACTCGGGCAATTTTGGCATCTGAGACGAGGGAGCCGCGGTCACACCGGTCAGGGTAACGGCAGAATTGGTATCGGAAACGTGGGAACGCTTCTTATGGCCGAGGGGAGCCAGCTCTGGAGAGTATTCCTGTGTTCAGAGAGAGAGGGGGGAATGAGAAATGAAGTAGGAAAGAAAGGGTGAACTGCTGCAGTCAGTCAGTACCGAAATGGAAGATTGTAATCAAATTGTCCTGTGATTAACTGCCAAAGAGAGGGGATGCGGGCAACTGCTCGAAAATGAGTTTAGCCAAAGCCAGACAAAGGCGAGAAAGTTTGCTAAAAGCAGGTCAGCGGATCTCAGTTGTCAATACCTAAAGATGCGCAATATCAGTCAAAACACCGCACACTTTCCGGGCTGCTTCACAGTACCTGTTTCTACGGTTCTAATTTTGCCCATTGGGTTGTGCTGCTGCTGCAACAGACCTCAAACAGTAGTTAAACATCTTCTCAGGTAAGATACCTGGGCGGGCATCTCGACTTCGTCTCGCTATGAGAGCATGGAGAAGACGGGGGGTGAGGAAGGCTGAAGCAACTATTATCTGGTCTTCCTTTGTATTCTGAACATAAAACCGGACTTTTTGTAAAGATAACTTATAGCGCCCGGTAAACAGGACATAGCAATAGCACCGTTCCGCCTTAGTAATAGAGTTGAAACTGCACATAATATCCGGAAGGGTACATATTCGCGTGTCCACCTACCCCAACATCTGCTTTAACTTGAGTTTAAATCAGAGTCCTAAGCTTATCCCTAACTTTATTCTCAACCATAACAATGCATTTAGCACGAACACTAAACTTAGCCTTATTTTCCCTGGAATTTGGCGCAAGGAAACCTGCACTGCGAGTCGTTTGCGTACTCCTACTCAGTTTAGGCGGGCCCTATAAGTCATCCCTACCTGGCTTCTTTAATTTTCTCACTGTCAGCTCTCTTTTGGGCTTAACTGGACTGCGTGATATGCTCTGCGATCGGTAGCGTATTTTCTCGACCTAAGCCATGCCAAATTAATCCTAGCACCTGAACCAGCCCTTATTCGTATCTATCGTCTGAAGTGATGGAAACCCAGTGGCTGTCACAAACCACTCTGTCCTCATTCGGATTCACACGCACTATAACAAAAGTTGACAGGCTTGGAGCCAGTACAATGCCCTGAGCGTCATGTCTCTTGGAAGGATATCAAATGACCGGGGGTACGTCGGTCCTCAGGACCGTTGAGTCAGTCTGCACAGGCTCCTTTTAAGCATAGTTTATGTGAAGTGAAGCCTGACCCGTGCGCGTTGAGCAAATTTTTTGTCTACCACTGCGCTGAAACCCACCTTTAATCGACGTCTTCATCAAGGGCTGTCATTGGGCGTGACAGAAGAAAGTGAGGTCGGTGCTACGCAAGCCCCTCCCCAGTCCCCTAAAATGAATAAGCCTGTGAGTCAGTATTACTCAACAGGGCAACGATGGTGCTCGTGGGGTCTGGTAAACAGGCAATCGTTTCCCATGCAATGGTCGCCAATCTCATTGGTCGAACTCGGCTAGCGCATTTGAAATTGAAATTAGAGGGTCTTGTTGCTAGTAATCTATGAAACTGGGGGGAGGGCGGGAGGGATGCAGTGGACGTCACATTTTCTGGCACTGACAAAACACCTGTGTTGTGACCTCGACTGGTAGGCGACGAGTCTGCCCAGCCTTGTTTGTCGCGAAGACGACGACGACGACGGCATCTTCCGCCCCTCGGATGAGTAGGGGGAAACAAGCACCAGTTAAATGACCTGTGAAAGTTTCATGAATTGCGCCAAAACGAAAATAGGAGGGGAGGGAGAATAAGAAGAAGAAGAAGAAGAAAAAAAAAAGAAGACCTACTAAGGGGTGGCATGCCAACATGATTTGCATACAGGCCTGATGGGTATTAGCATACGCGTGTGCAAGATCCGCTAAAGTGAGGAAGAAGAAGAACTAAGCGGAGTGTGGCCTCAGCGCTACACCAATTTGGCAGAAGGCCCCATTTTAAAACACGAGCAGCGTAGTAGAAGCCCAAAGCAATCAGCAGA